GGCTTGTCCCTTCCCTGGCTGTGTGCCTGTCACTCCCCTCGTCTCCTCAGCCCCATTCCCTACGAGGAGCTCACCCGCCTGATTGACGAGGCCAGCGAGAAGAACATGAGCATCTCCATCCTGACCCAGGTGAGGGGGCCCAGGCCTGGCAGGGCGGGGGCGGCCTGGCGGTGCCCTCTGAGGCCTGCCCCTGGGGGGCTGGTCTGTGACCGTGTCTCCCTGCTTTTCCCATTCAGGAAATCATGGTCTACCTGGCCATGTACATGCGCACCCAGCCCGGCCTCTTCGCCGAGATGTTCCGGCTGCGCATTGGGCTCATCATCCAGGTGATGGCCACGGAGCTGGCGCACTCGCTGCACTGCTCAGGTACCGGCCCCTCTGGGTCCAGCCCGAGAAGACCGACAAAGGGCGGGAGCGTCGCCCTCGCTGCCTGTGTCCCCGGCTGCCTTTGCCTGCCCAGGGGAGGTGTCCGGCGCGGTGTCCCCCAGCCGGGGTCCCGAGGCAGGAGAGGGCTGGGAGAACACTCCGTCCCCCAGGCTCACCGCAGGCCCTGGCGTGTCTGGGAATCTCTGTGGGTCCCTGGTTGGAGTAACGTGGCTATTGGGGTTAAATCTCGCCTAGGCGTGGAGCTGCTGAAATGTTTGGGGGTTTCACGCTTACACGGGGCGGGGAGAGGGGAGCGAGCCAGCCGGGGTCCCGAGGCAGGAGAGGGCTGGGAGAACACTCCGTCCCCCAGGCTCACCGCAGGCCCTGGCGTGTCTGGGAATCTCTGTGGGTCCCTGGTTGGAGTAACGTGGCTATTGGGGTTAAATCTCGCCTAGGCGTGGAGCTGCTGAAATGTTTGGGGGTTTCACGCTTACACGGGGCGGGGAGAGGGGAGCGAGCGTCACCGTGAGCCAGCTCCCGCTTTCTCCCTCCTCCTCCCGCCACCATCCGCCCCCGGAGCATTGCGCCCTCCTGCCCCCTGGGCGGGCACGGCTGGGAAGGGCGTGGAAGGGAGATGCCTGGCTCGTAGGCGCACCGAGCTCCCGATAGGACCCCAACACAGCGGCTCTGCTCGGACTGGCCTGCCCCTCCCTGCGCGCTCGGCTAGCTGCTTGGGCTGCGGAGATACCGGCAAGGGAAGTGCTTCGGCGTCTGGGGTGGCGTGAAACGGCCCCTCCCTCTGACGGGACGCTCAGTTCCCCCGTCCTGGTGATGTGGGTTAAAGGAAATGCCGATGGCTCAGGGCGCTGCCCCCTTCTGCAGTCTGGCTGGTTTGTGCCCCCCAGCGACTTGCTTACAGACCCAGACCTAGAAATCCCGGGTCCCGGTGCCTGGCTCCCGAGCCCTCGCGGCCTTTGCCCGGCGCACGGATGGCTGGAAAAGCAGTCCTTGGGCACCCAGTGCTGTCCTCGCGTTTCAGGCTGCAGCCCGTCGAGCAGCCCGGA